ACCCTATTCTCTGGACATCCTCAAATCTCAGATTGCCAGAAGCTGGGATTGGATGATGGAATATGGATCACTTGATAAACTGCCCTGTTCCATTCATTATTTCTGAAACAACTGGAACTGGTCCATTGGAAGATAGGATACAGGGGTAGGTGGACGATGGGTCTGACCCAGTATAGCCATTCTTATGTTCTATTAAGAAAGTCAGGCACATAACATATCGCTTTACAGTTCTTCTTTCACCTGTGCAAGCTTTCTATCAGAGCTCTGATCTCGTTATGTGAATTAGCAATTAATGGTATTTCTATATAGCAACTAGACACCATGGCTGCTCCATGCCACCTGACTCATGCTCAGAGGGCTCAGACTGCAGGGTATCTAGTTGCTGTGTAAACATACCTTTAGAGAATGAACTGTAGAAAACAAACAACTAGAGTGACATTACAAAATGTACTTTATTCATTTATTTTTGTTAACACTTTATTATAAACATTACTGAGACTTTGGAGCAGGAACTGTCTTTTTTGTTCTGTGTTTGCAAAGCACAATGGGATCTAGTCCATAACTAGTGCTCCTAGTAGTTAAAATGTATTAGTAATTATGAGATAAAACCCCAATACTGCATCTCTGATTAAACCCCTGAAAGATGGAAAGAGTCACTAATTTTTATTAGGACACACAGCAAAACGAAGGCAGACTGGATTTAAAGCTGCAGGCTGTAACTTTATTGACTTTTAACATTAAAAGGCTTGACTTTCCCTTTAACTACCAGGCCCTGACTGAGTTCAGAGTGGGGCTGAACAGCCTTATGCCACACATGCAAGGAAAAGGTGCTCAGCTATTCAGCCATTGATATTCTTTAAGATGTGTAGTCCAAATCATAACGGCTTGTGATTGATTGTATGGGCAGTGCATGAACCAAAAAACTTTCTAGTCCACATTGTCCGTGAGGCATTGCATGGACCCTTATATTTTCAAGCATTCCAATGAAGGTAAAAGTGTTGGCGCCATCTCATAACCCTTGGTTCCTTCAGAGCTCGGTGAAGCTTGTGGAACTCCAAACCAGTAGCAACAGCAGGTGGCTACTCCCAAACAGTAGTCCTCACAGGACCATAGCATGATCAGCCTCATCCCTGGTCACCTACACCAGTATATAATGTTTTGTAAATGTGTGGACAGATGACCATGCTGCCGTTCTGCAAATATACCTGACGGGAAGTCACACCAAAGAGGCCACTGTGTATGGAGGACTGTATTAACACTTTGTACAGAAGTAGAATCCCTGTGAGTGAAAAGCATGGCATAAAGCTCCACCCAGATATTTTCTGGGTGGGTACTGTTTGACCCATAATCCTTTCCCTATAAACAAAAGAAGAGTCAGGGTAGTTTCTGGAATATGTACAAACACTATACTGCTCTTGCTGCATGAGCTTCAGGAAGAGCATGGGTAAGAAGCTTGATGGTCTCACTAATGTGAAATTTCAACGCTACTTTTGGCAGAAATCTTGGAAGCACTTCATTGTCCCCTCATCCTTATATATGATGGCATATGGAGAGTCCTACCATAGATGTCCAAGTCTTTTCAACACTAGTGGCTGATATGACGGCCAACAATCAACTTTTATGTTGAGACTGAGCTACTGGCAATAGGCACATTGCCCTAAAGGGCTTTCAGTAGCATGGAGAGGACTAGATTCAGGTCTCATGTTCCATCAGTCATTAAGTGGTGAAGAGACCAGAGATGCCTTTCAGGAATCTCAACTTGCTGTCGATTGTAAGAATATAAAGGAATGATCAGTCACTGGGATGGACAGCCAGCTGATATGGCCACCTGGTGCACCTGCCTGGAACCTTAGGAGAGACTCACTTTAACTGACACAGGTATTCAATTAAAGCTTTCCTGAACAGAGGGAATATGCCACCAATGGGCCCACTTGGAGAATCTCATCCATTTCCAACACATAAGTCATTCTTGTTAGCTCCTATATGTTGTTTTTCATACCTTCTGCACTTCCAGCAAGCAAGACCTCTGAGTCAACCAGAAAGCATCCATATGGTTAGACAGAGTTTGGTTTGCAGCATCTCACCTCCATTCTAAGCCAGAAGATCATGACTGGGGGTGCCAAGAAGAGGTTGAGCAAGTCTGAGTACAAGGTACATCTTGGTCAGGTTGGAGCCAACAGGATTAGTGTGGCCTCATGAAGGATTTTCCACAGCATGTTCAGAAGCAATAGGAGGGGGGTTGGGGGGAGATGCATGCATCTGTATCAGGAAGAGTGCATCCAAGAGAGATCCTGATTCCTGCCTCCCCATAAGCCATACTGGCAATCACAAGGTGGCTCTAGAGTCTTTCAGTAAGTGAAAGGAATCATCTGTCTTCTGAATGAAGAGCTGTGATAGATCAAAAGGAAGGTCCCAAATTGTACTCTGTAATTCCCTCATGATGATTCCTGTTGCCATAAGGATGCTTCTGCGGAATCAGCTACAGCCTGAAGTAGGTTTCTAGTAACCAACTTGCTCTCCTCCAAAATAGTGTGAAAACGGGCACAGTCTTGTTTCAGTAGTTTTTCCAAAAAAATCCACTATCTGGAAAAAGCTGTATCTCAAAGTCCTTAATCACAAGAAATCACTATAAAAATAGTCAAATCTTAGGTATAAGAATAAAAATTGTTTTTTTCTGTAAAATTTGGACATCATGCCACTAAGGATGAGAAAACAGCAGAGGCTCCAACTTGAACTCTTTATTGAAGATAATAGGGTGACAGGTAAAAGACACCATGGATTTCTAAAGAACAAATCATGTCAAACCAATCTGATAACCTTTCTTTGATAGGATAACAAGTTTTCTGAATAAGTGAGAAGCAGTGGATGTGGTACACCTAGACTTTAGTAAGGCATTTGATACCGTCTTACATGACAGTTTTATCAATAAACTAGGCAAATACAATTTAGATGGGGCTACTATAAGGTGGGAGCATAACTAGCTGGATAACCTCTCTCAGAGAGTAGTTATTAATGGTTCATAATTCTGCTGGAACAGTATAACAATTGGGGTTCCACAGAGGTCTGTTTTGGGTCCGGTTCTGTTCAGTATTTTAATCAATAATTTAGATATTGACATAGAGAGTATGCTTATTAAGTTTGCAGATGATACCAAGCTGGGAGGAGTTGCAACTGCTTTGGAGGATAGGGTCATAATTCAAAATGATCTGGACAAACTGGAGAAATGGTCTGAGGTAAATAGAATGAAGTTTAATAAGAACAAATGCAAAGTGTTCCACTTAGGAAGGAACAATCCATTTCAGACATACAGAATGGGAAGCGACTATCTAGGAAGGAGTACTGCAGATAGAGACCCAGGGGTCATAGTAGACCACAAGCTAAATATGAGTCAACAGTGTGATGCTGTTGCAAAAAAAGCAAGTAATTCTTCTGCTCTACTCTGTGCTGATTAGGCCTGAGTTGGAGTATTGTGTCCAGTTCTGGGCACCTCATTTCAAGAAAGATGTGGATAAACTGGAGAAGGTCCAAAGAAGCGCAACAAACTTGATTAAAGGTCTAGGGTATGTCTACGCTGCATTCCTCTTTTGAGAGGAATGCAAATACAGCTGAGCAAAATTGCAAATGAAGCGTAGATTTGAATTTCCTGCGCTTCATTTGCATAATTGTGTCCGGCCGCTATTTCGAAATACCCTATTTCGAAAAAAGAAACGCTATCTAGACGCAGTTATTACAAAGGAAAACCCCTCTTTCAAAATAACCCTTACTCCTTATAAAATAAGGTTTAAGGGTTATTTCAAAAAAAGGGTTTTCTTTCAAAAATAACCATCTCTAGACAGCATTTCTTTTTTCGAAATAGGGTATTTTGAAATAGCGGCCGGACGCAATTATGCAAATGAAGTGCGGGAAATTCAAATCCATGCTTCATTTGCAATTTTGCTTGGCTGCATTTGCATTCTTCTCTCGAAAGAGGAATGCTGTGTAGACATATCCCTAGAGAACATGACCTATGAAGGAAGACTGAAAGAATTGGAAAGGAGAAGACTGAGAGGGGACAGGATAGCAGTTTTCAGGTATCTAAAAGGGTGTCACAAGGAAGAGGGAGAAAAATTGTTTTCCTTAGCCTCTGATGATAGGATAAGAAGCAATGGGCTTCAACCGCAGCAAGGGAGGTTTAGGTTGGACATTAGGAAAACCTTCCTAACTGTAAAGGTGGTTAAACACTGGTATAAACTGCCCAGGGAGGTTGTGGAATCTCCATCTGTGGAGATATTTAAGAGTAAGTTAGATAAATGTCTATCAGGGATGGTCTAGACCAGTGGTCTACACCCAAGATCACTTTTTAAGACTCAGAACAGGCGAAGATCTACTGCCCCGCCCCTTCCTTGAAGCCCCGCCTACATTACATGAGGAAATCTAATGTAAATGTACTGCGCAGGCGTGCAGTTCAGAGAGGGCTCAAGAGCTACTCTTAGAGCCCCGGAGATCTACCGGTAGATCGCGATCTACTGGTTGGTGACCACGGGTCTAGACAGTACTTGGTCCTGCTGTGAGGGCAGGGGACTGGACTCGATGACCGCTCGAGATCCCTCCCAGTTCTAGTGTTCTATAGTTGCCTCAGAAGAAATCATGAGATTGTACAAGGGCACATGTGTAGACTGACAGATACTATTACTTTGACAAACCCCAGGTCCAAGAACCTGCATAATCGTAGTGGAATACAACAGGATGGCCAGGGATGCAGCCCCATTCTCCCACTGCCACTAAATTTCCAACTTGCAGAAGCTAGGACTGGATTACAGAGTACGAATCACTCAAGATTCCCTAGTCTGCTCATTCCTTCTCAAACATTTGACACTGGCCACTCTCAGACAGAGGCTCAATGTACAAGTATGGGTTTTCTTATATTAACTGTATAGTTCACAACCAAAATAACCATAAAGGCACCCCCATAAAGACAATTTCATTCAGATACATTTATTTAAAAAAAAAAGTAGAAATACCTCTTGGAAAATCAATTTCAATATCAAGGTCTGGATCATACGGAATATCAGGCAAGCTTGTCTGCATCTCTGTCCCAGAAGTTAGCAAGTCTGTATCGATTATTACACCTGTAATTATGTAAAAGAAAATATTACTATTTAACAGTTAATTTTCATTTTGTGGCTCTGTCAAGACCACACTAGGGATATTAAATATTGGTTAACTGAATAGTTAGGTAACCTCATGAATTCTTATTGGTTATTTGTCTATTCTATAATCCCTGGGGGCTGGGCCAGTAGCCAGTGTGCTTCAGACTCACTTCTGAGAAGACCCCTGCTACTCCGCACTGCTGTCACTATATCAGAGACAGCAATGCAAGGTGCCAGGTGGGAGCTCATAGACTCAGACTCATAGACTTTAAGGTCAGAAGGGACCATTATGATCATCTAGTCTGACCCCCTGCACAGTGCAGGCCACAAAATCTCACCCACCCCTCCTAGAATAATCCTCTCACCTATATCTCAGATATTATCATAGACCCCTACTTTGAAGACCCCAAGATGCAGAGAATCCTCTAGATCATCTAGTCTGCCCCCCTGCACAGTGCAGGCCACAAAATCTCACCCACCCCTCCTAGAATAATCCTCTCACCTATATCTCAGATATTATCATAGACCCCTAGATGCGGAGAATCCTCCAGCTGTGATCTGTACCCCATGCTACAGAGGAAGGCGAAAAACCTCCAGGGCCTCTGCCAATCTACCCTGGAGGAAAATTCCTTCCCAACCCCAAATATGGCGATCAGCTAAACCCTGAGCATGTGGGCAAGATTCATCAGCCAGACACCCAGAAAGTTCTCTATAGTAACTCCTATCATCCCTCCATTGACCTATTTCCCACCGATAATGAATGGTCAATTAGTTACCAAGATCATGTTATCTCATCAAACCATCCCCTTCATAAACCCATCTAGTTTAATCTTGAAACCAGATAGATCTTTTGCCCCCACTACTTCCCTTGGAAGGCCGTTCCAGAACCTCACACCTCTAATGGTTAGAAACCTTCGTCTAATCTCAAGTCTAAACTTCCTACTAGCCAGCTTATATCCATTTGTTCTTGTGTCCACATTGGTATTAAACTTAAATAATTCCTCTCCCTCCCTGGTATTTATCCCTCTAATATATTTAAAAAGTGCAATCATGTCCCCCCTCAGCCTTCTTTTGGTTAAAGTAAACAAGCCAAGCTCCTTGAGTCTCCTTTCATAAGACAGGTTTTCCATTCCTCGGATCATCCTAGTGGCCCTTCTTTGTACCTGTTCCAGTTTGAATTCATCCTTCTTAAACATGGGAGACCAGAACTGCACACAGTATTCCAAATGGGGTCTCACCAATGCCTTGTATAATGGCACTAACACCTCCTTATCCCTACTGGAAATACCTCGCCTAATACATCCCAAGACCGTATTAGCCTTTTTCACGGCCATGTCGCAATAGCGGCTCATAGTCATCCTATAATCAGCAAGAACTCCGAGGTCTTTCTCCTCCTCCGTTACTTCCAACTGATGTGTCCCCAGCTTATAACTAAAATTCTTGTTATTAATCCCTAAATGCATAACCTTACACTTCTCACTATTAAATTTCATCCTATTGCTATCACTCCAATTTACAAGATCATCCAGATCTTCCTGTATGATATCCTGATCCTTTTCTGAATTGGCAATAGCTCCCAACTTTGTGTCATTCTCAAATTTTATTAGGACACTTCCACTTTTGGTGCCAAGATCAGCAATAAAAAGATTAAATAAAATTGGCCCCAAAACTGATCCCTGAGGAACTCCGCTAGTAACCTTCCTCCAACCTGACAGTTCACCTTTCAATATGACCCGCTGTAGTCTCCCCTTTAACCAGTTGCTTATCCCCCTCTCAACTTTCATATTAATCCCTATCTTTTCCAATTTAACCAATAATTCCCCATGTGGTACTGTATCAAATGCCTTACTAAAGTCGAGGTAGATTAGATCCACTGCATTTCCTTTACCTAAAAAATCTGTTACTTTCTCAAAAAAGGAGATCAGGTTGGTTTGGCACGATCTACCTTTTGTAAAACCATGTTGTAATTTGTCCCAATTGCCATTAGCCTCAATGTCTCTAACTACTTTCTCCTTCAAAATTTTTTCCAGGATCTTACATACTACAGATGTCAAACTAACAGGCCAAAAGTTACCCGGGTCGCTTTTTTTCCCTTTCTTAAAAATCGGAACTATATTAGCAATTCTCCAGTCAAATGGTACAACCCCTGAGTTTAGAGATTTATTAAAAAATTTTGCTAATGGACTTGCAAGTTCATGTGCCAGTTCCTTTAATATTCTTGGATGAAGATTATCTGGGCCCCCAATTTTACTCCCATTAAGCTGTTCAAGTTTGGCTTTTACGTCGGATATGGTAATATCTACCTCCATATCTTTAGTCCCATTTGTTAACTTACCATTATCCCTAAGCTCTTCATTAGCCTCATTAAAGACTGAAGCAAAGTATTTGTTCAAATATTGGGCCATTCCTAGATTATCCTTAACCTCCATTCCATCCTTAGTAATTAGCGGTCCTACTTCTTCTTCTTTTGTTTTTTTTCCTGTTTATATGGCTATAAAACAGTTTACTATTGGTTTTAATTCCCTTTGCAAGGTCCAACTCTACCTGACTTTTAGCCTCTCTCACTTTATCCCTACATGCTCTTACTTCAATAAGTTAGCTTTCTTTACTGATCCCTCCCATTTTCCACTCCTTATATGCTTTCTGCTTTTTCTTAATCACCTCTCTGAGATGCTTGCTCATCCAGCTTGGTCTAACACACCTGCCTATAAATTTTTTCCCTTTTCTAGGGATACAGGCTTCTGACAACTTCTGCAACTTTAACTTAAAATAATTCCAGGCCTCCTCCACTTTAAGATCCATAATTTCTTTAGAGCTGTTCTATGAGGGGAGCCAATTTAAAAACTAGCTCCCCTTGTGATCTGGCTGCCTGTTGCCCTGTGCTGCTGCCTCTGCTAAAGCGGCAGTGGTGCCGGGTGGCAACAGCCCATGTCTAGGTGGTGGTCTGAGCTCCCGGACCTGGCACGAGCCAGAACTGAGCAGGGCTGCGTGCCCACCTGGCTCCTAATACTTTTTAAATGCAGAGCTACAGCGGGGGTAGGTCCTGGACCCATTGCAAGCCACAACTGAGCAGGGCTGCTGGCCAGCTTGCTAAAACATTTACTGGCGTGTGTGTGGGGAGGAGGGAAGGGGGTGAATGCATGTAGTCTATAGCATTAACCTAGAAGCTTTTGCTTATCAGTTAATCAACTACACTTTTACATCCCTAGACAACACAGATACTCAATTCCCCCTCACATATTCACTGCCAAGCAGGATGATGGCAAATCAGCAGCCCAGATTCTGGACCTCTCTATTCTGCTCTCTAATAAGATTCCTTCCCAGCTAGAAAGATACCTGTTAGCCTACCCTGCCCTGCTTAATTACAGAAATTCTCTTGCCAACGTCCAGGTTTGGAAAGCTCTTTCCTGTGTAATCTAGGCTGCCTCAACCAGCCACGAAAAGCAAATTCATATAAAGTAGGAATGTATTTTGTCTTTCTGTGGCTTTGCCTGCAACAGCAGAGATTCTGGGCCTCTTTGTTGGAGACCTTAACAAAACACAGAGAGAGAGAGAAAACAAGAGGCTAAACCAGAAAAGGAAAAGATGAAGTGAAACAGCAGTCTTTGACCTCTTCACCAACTTCGCACAAGTAGAGCTGTGAGCACACAGAACTCTCCAGTCAAATATGGAGCATACAAGCTCTACACAATCAAAGGGCACTGTCTGCAAACATCTGTATGTCCTGACAACAGTAGCTGGTGAAAGAGCAAAGGGAACCTGAGCAGGCAACTTTGCAAAGCTTTTCCAGTAATACCTTCAACGCTCCAGCTGAAGTGGTGGCCCTGGCTCTGGTTTTGTGAGCACTAAATTTTAGCAGACATGGAAATTCTGCAGCCTTATATGCCTACTGCTTCCTTGTTCTGCTTCAAGGAGAGACTGCTCTTGCACATTGTCATAGATTTTAAGGCTAGAAGAGACCATTTTGGTCATCTCGTCTGAGACAAGCCATAGAACATCCCCCAAATAATTCCTAGGGTTAGTGTTTTAGAAAAACATGCACTCTTGATTTAAGATCTTGACTTACAAATTAAGAATTTATCTCAAACCTTGGTATACTGTTCCAATGGTTAATTACTGTCTCAGTTAAAAAATGACCCCTTATAACGGTCTTTAGGCATGCTGAGAAGCTGACTTTGTTACTCACAACTGCAAAAACTACTTCAGCCTCTACTTTTTCCACTGAGGTAGTGAATTTTTCCCTCAGCTAATAAATAACCTAAGATGCCTACTAGGAAAGTGCTACTGCAAGGATAATAGTAGTTAATTTGTTCATCCTTTAGCCTCCTTTGGCTGATAGACAAATGGTGGTTGGACCAAGTTGCAGAAGTCACTTTCCTGCATTTGTGGGGGTTTTTAAATGAAACAACAGCCGAACTAGACACAGGAGCTTTGCAGAGAGAGAAAATCCTGGGTGACAGCCTCCTGGCTCTAGGAGCAGGTGAGGAGGATTCCAGCATCTATCTACATGGCTGCCAGCCAAGCCACACAACAGATTTCTGAAAGTTACCTGCATCTCAAATATGATGAAATATTCTATAAATGTGTATAAACAGAAAAATATTTCAATTAAATTTAGAATTCACAAATAGCAGTTTTGTATTTAATTTCTGTAATATAAGAATACTGCATAGAGACAAACACACAGAGGTAAAAACATGTGGATTCAAAGGCCAGAGCAATAAAACATACTGTTCACATCTGTAGTCTCTATTTTTCCATCATCGCCAGGCAACATCTCAGCTATAGTCAGTAGTTCAGCCTCCAGAGCATTTGAAGGAACTTTACCCCTCAGCTCTTCTATTGCTGCAAGAATCTTCTCATTGCTATCCAGAGTGGTGGGTAGAAAAACCGGAACTGGTATCTAAGGAGAAAGGAATGAATAACTCTTTAAAAATTTCATTGTTAACAAAAAACACAACAATTGATAAGACAGTTGAAAAACAATGAATACAGATGACCAGAAGGAGAAAAAGGAGGGAACAAAAATACCAGAGTAATATAATTTAGTGGTGAGAATGAAAAAACGTGCCAGGAGCCTCCTGACGCCTAATCCCAGGTCTGACTTCATCTACCTAGTTTTTGTGGCCCTGGACAAGTCATTACTCTCTTCTGCTTGCCTCAATTTCCCCATCTGGAAAATGAGGAACATTCTTTTTGCCTTCTAAGTCAAAGAAACGTTGTCAGCATTATCACTTGAGCAAATCACTTAGATGTGGAATGCTTTGCAAGTGATAACAATTAAGAAACTTACTTTGCAAGAAATATCGAAATTCAAATCTTATCCTGATTTCCAGTACAACCCTGTCATTCCCTCTTTACTTCAACTCCCTCCTACAAGTTTCATTTCTCATACTATCTTTCTCTTTGCTATGTTCGACCATCTAGCATAGATGGCAATAGTCAAAAAGGTTGCTGGAGCAGCACAGCACACTAAGAGCTTGCATTTATGTGAGAAGGCAGGTTTTTTATAGAAGAATGGCAAGGAAGCTGAAGTGTCATTGGCAAAATACGGTCTTACCTACATAAAAAAAGTTCTGTAGCATCACTGAAGCTACATACAACTAATGACTAACAAAGAATAACACAAATTATTCTCTTAGCTACAGTTGAATGAAATTCAGCTTAAAATTAAGGCATGACTTACTGGAACAGGAACCATTGTTGGAACAGGAACATTTTGACTATACATCTGCATAGGCACCGGAACATAAACAGGTACAGGAACAGGCACTGGGACATATTCTTTCTTCCAATCATCTTCTATAAAAATAAGCCACAATACTGATAGCCCCTTAAAAGTGTCTTACAATACCAACTTAGAAAAGAAACTATAGCATATTCCAAGTCAATTAAATTCAAATACATGAACGGTGAAATGAAGCAACTTCTACTTCTACTAATATTCATTAGTTACCTGTCTGACAACATTTTGTCTGCATGTGAGGTTTACAGTATGTGGCTTTTGTCATTGTCAAAGGTTTGCAAAGAATTGCCTTGTTCTTCATCTCTTTGTTAGGTGTTGGAGAAGGGGGTGGTGCTGAACCCTACAAACAAGCAAATAACTGCATCATTATTGATTTGTTTCAGCTTTTTACTTCAGACACCAATTAATATTTGTATTCTAAACATATATAAGTACTGGAAAAAAAAGGCAAAGCACAGTAGCACCAGTGACTGCTCTTTAGTTGAAAGGGGTTCAGACTTCCAAACGGATATTATCAAATAGTAAAACATTTAAAAATACTGTAAGAGTTGGCCGTATACTCCCTTAAAAGTAAAAGTTAGGTCAAGAAGGCTTTTGGTTACTTTTTATTTTAAAACTATGGACTGAATCAATGAGTTCAGACGCAGTTTTCTATGGTTGTGCTCAAAAGTTTTAATCAAGATTATAGCTGACATTTCCAATTAATAAAACAATTCCCAAAAGTTTAATACATACATATTTATACATAAACTAAACAAATTAAGATGCTTTTTATATAGGTGTAACATTTAGCTTTAAGGTTAAATATATTTTTCTAGAGCAGTAAGGAAACTGAAGGAGCCAATATAGTCTGGCTGGAACATTCTGAAGGTCTCAAAAAGAGAGACAGAAATAAATAAGTGTAAAATTAAAATAAGGGAATCTGGAGGAAGAGACCATTTTAATCCCCCTTTTTGTGCCAACCTGATACAACCTACTAAAATTCAAACTTGAGATTACTCCATGGTCCACTCATGCTATGCCTTGCTTTCCACTACACAGGAACAAGCCCTTCAAAAAGTTATACTTTGTTATTCCCACATACAGATTCAATGGAGTAAATGGGACTCTGTACAGCAGGGGTGGGCAAAAGGGCTGGATCCAGCCTGCCAAGCGGGTTGATCTGGCCCGCAGAAGCCCTGCCAATTGAGGCCTGGGGGCGGGGAGCGTGTGAAACTTCCTCTGCCCTGTGAAGAGCACACTGCACTTCAAGTGCTATGCAGGGCGGGAGGAGCCATCACATGCTGTGCTGCCCCGCCCCCAAGCACTGATTGGCTTGGGGGCAGGAGAAGCACGCAAAGTTTTCTCTGCCCTCTCGTCTCCCCTCCCACTCGTGAGGAGTGCGTGGCACTTCAAAGTGCTGTACACTTACACAAGGTGCAGGCAGGGCAAAGGAAGCTTCTTGCAGCTCCCCCACTCCCAGACCCTGATTGGCCTTGGGGCTTGGAGGAGCGTGTGAAGCCTCCTGCAACCCTGCCCCAGCCCTGTGAGGAGTGCATGGAACATCAGACTGCTACGTGCTTTTCACAGGGTGAGAGGAGGCTTCGAGTGCTCCTCCGCCCACAACATAACCCACAAAACCTTTATGTTTTTCTTAATTATCTTTAAAGGGATACTCTCATATAAGTCAGCAATAAAGACTTATGAATACAATTTTTTAATAACTTAAGCTATTCAATTTAGTTTCACTGAGTATGACGACAAAAAAAGCAAAACCTATTATTTATATTTTCTATTTTAATAGTTTAAAAGCGTTATGTATTTTGTTGGTGTTTAAAGAACTGAAGAGGACATTTTAATGTATCTAATTATATTTTATATACTTACTGTCATTTTTGTTCTGGAAGTTTGACAACCCTGATCTAAAATGTAAAGAGATTCAAAATTAATAGTGTTTATTTTATCCGTTTATATAAAAAGTACATAAAATAAACTTTCAACAACAAAAATAAAGACAGTTACTATAATCACGGTAGCTAGCACCATAGCAGCAGTTCTGATTGCTGGCTTATCATAGTATTGACAGATAAGCAGAGCTAACGCTCTATGACCCTTGTGCTCAGTCCTAGACACAGAAATTACTTAAGTGGTTTCTAAACCCACTGAGTTAAATCAGTGCAATGCTCTGTGAATATTCTCTTGATCTGGTTAAAACTGTCTTATATCAATTTATCTTAAATTGAGCTGAATTAATAATGGCCACTCAGATTTAAAAATGCATACACAAAGATGCTGCACCAATCTGAACAGATTTTAAAACTAATTTAATTAAACTGCTGTCATTTTTGTGTGCAGACAAGCTTTGCAGCTATTGAAAAGGAGATCAGCCTTTTCTCCTCTCCATTCTCTGTTGACCCCGATGATGCTCCAGATCAGCTGCAGCTCGAGCTCATTGAGCTGCATTGTGACAGCGAGTTACGCAGTCGTCACCAACAGCTCTCTCTTGTGAACTTTTACCGCCAACTGGATAAGAGCCGGTTTCAAGAGATTCGAACATTGGCTAAGAAAATGCTGAGCTTGTTTGGCTCAACATATATGTGTGAGAAGACATTCTCTGCTATGAACTTTAACAAGAACCGCGTGAGGACAAGACTAAATGACTCTCACCTGCGTGATATTTTGCGCATCAAAACCACTGCCTTTGAACCAGACCTAGCCTATGTACTGCAGTCCAGATCTCAGTTTCACCCTTCACATTAGTTTAGGCAAGTTTTTTTTTCAATTGAGATGACTACATTGTAAAATCTCAGTTAATGTCAGTTGGTCTAAATCAGTTATAAATATATTTGGACACAACATGTATAGTTGGTGTTATGTCGTTTGCCGTTTGCAATAAACTTTGCATAAAATAGTTAATTTGCATTTAATTTTAATGGTTCAAAGAATGTCAGGCAAAATGGTCGGCCCTCACGCATGTTCACTTCATCAAATCTGGCCCTCTTTGAAAAAAGTTTGGACACCCCTGCCCTAAGTTCACTATGATCCCCACATGTATATGACCTTCCTGCTCTTTCAAAGGTTTTAGCTGCCTCCTTGTACTAACAACAACAGAGCATTACACAATTTAAAAAGATGTTGCAAATTCAGTTCTCATTTGGAGAAAAACATGTTTTTAATATTTTCACCACTAATCCCTGGTGTTACCCCACTCCCCAGGATCTCAGAAAGCAAAAGACTCCAAAGTACAAGCAAGGACAAACTGGAAGTGAGGGAAGACAAGAGGATTCCCTATCTTTTATCGACCATATTAAAAGCAAAATTACACTGGAGCTGAAGAGAAGAAATGAGTGTGAGAATGTTCCATTACCTCCTCATTTCTGGAGATTACTCTGCTTTTTTAACCAGTGTTTGGCCTCAGAACTGAATTTCAAAATTGTGAATCTTGTAGCACAAGTAAGTTTACTATATGAATAAACATGTAGTAAAGGGCAATTATTTATCACTATCTGCTGATAAATTAGTTCCTTTAACATTAAACAGAAATTGTGTATTTAGTTCTACCCATGCAATGTACTGAACACCTGTCCGAGGAATGAGAATATTAATTGGCAAGTTACATAATATTTCACTCTCGAAACGGACAATAAAATGAAAAGCTAACATCAAAAATCCAATATGAATAGCACAATAAGCAAATTTCTGACAGTAAAACATGTTTGGACAGTGTCTAGCACAATGTGGCTGGTATATAATCTCATCAATTTCTGATCTCTCTTTAAACAGAAGTTGATCCTTCGTAAATTACTCATTCATATTACTTGTAGAGGTCACGTGAGTAAAAAATATTGAAGCTGAATTTTGTTTAAAAAAAATCCTTACAGAAAAATGATTATATAGTCCTGCTATTTATGATCTATGAAATATTACATACCATAATGCAAATTTTCAGGTCCTTTTTGTGTTGTCATATTAGGTTCATTTTGTTGACAGTAGAAACGCAGTAAGCAGTGCTGATCACAGAAATGTTTCATTTCTCCACGCCACTGCACTTTTTCTTTGAGAGTTCCTTGAGACTTACAACAGTCACACCTGGCAGCCTTAACATAAAGGGAGATTTTTTTTTTTTTTTTTTTTAGGAAAGAAACCTCAGAAAAAGAACTAAACATTTTACATTTAAGGGGATATTTAATGGTGAGGCTATTATTAATTTATTCTAGAGTACTTTTAAACTGTAAAGACTTGTTTTCAATTGTGACATCTACTTTGCCGCAATATCTGTGTTACCTTCTGATCTGTATGTAAAGACACATTAGTCATTTGGTTTTCAACTATATAAAACCAAAAAAAGGATCAACAGGCTTCATTTTGCTTACAAACTTTTAAGTCCATAAAACTAGCTCATCTTTATATATTCAGCAAGATATCTATATGCCATGAAGCCATTTTTACAAGGTCCACTGAAACATTCTGCAAAACAAGAGAGAAGGACAGAGATTGAGACTTCCATAAGGATTCTTTCCAAACCACAATGAAACAGTAATTAAACAACAATATTGTTGTCCAATTTCCTGTATTTGAATTATATTGTAAGCTCTTTGGTCCCGAGACCTTGTGTCTATCTAATTTGTGCTATATATGTTAATATGATTAAGTAAATTTCTTCAGTTTAAGAGGAGCACATATACATAGTAAATCTAATAGGAAGCTCAAGTTGTCATTTCACTGTCTCTGGTCCCAACAATTAGCATATAACTGAAGATCCTAAGTGGAATCTTGTAGGTCTGCACACTTGGCATGACAACTTTACTTGGGCATGTTTGCCAACCAAAGATAGGTTTCTTTCCTATTAAACCCACTGAAGTGAATCAGTCACACTACGTTATAATCTGAATATTGATGGCACCAACCGCAGTTCCCCAGCAAGCAAGCAAATACTCATAGCCATATTGCTCTTCACATCTGTTCACACCTACATGCCAAATGATACCAAAAAACAGAGGGGGCAGGAAACAAGGTTTATGAGTACTTGGAAATACCAGATAGATTTGTTGAATGAAATAACCCAAAAATCCATTTAAAGCATGGTGCAACAGATATGATAATTTGTCAAGAGAGATATAGCACTGAAGTTACATATGAGGATCTGATTGTTGAAGAATTGAAATGTGCAGCATTAGATGTTTGCAGGGTAACTACAATTAATTGGCCTGGTATCATTCTCAAACACAAAAGAGAGTAAGTGGTGTGCAGAGAGAGGTTGGGAGGGGGGGGGGGGGGGGGGGGGGGGCGAGGGGGTGGCAGCCCCTCCTCCCCGCCCAGCTGCAGGGGAGGGAAGGGGGGGGGGGGGAGGGAGGGGGGGGGGGGGGGGGGGGGGGGGGAGGAAGGTACAGAGAGAGAATGTGTGTATTCAGTCTCTTCTGCTTGATATTCTCTGGTGGCCCTCTGAAAAGTTCTGTGGAATATAAGATTTTTGACTGAGATTCTGAACTATTACGGTGACTATCTGTGGACTTAGGAATAATTTTAGGCACCTGTTTTCAAAAATACTTGCATTTAAAGTGTCTCTAACCCATCTGGATGTAACTCAATGCAACCATTGACTCTTCCAAAGTCAACAAAAAGACGGAAATATTAGTTCTGAGAGTTGCAAACTGCCCCCTTTCTCTTTGACAGGTGTTTTCAGCTGACAAGCTTCGTAGAAAGATCCATCTACTTTGGACTTATAGATGGAGCTTGATTAGCAGCACACCTTTCTTTCCATTTAATCCCTCATTGCAAATATAAAGAATCAGATCTTGAAAATACAGAGGAAGTGTTCTTTCTGCAGATATTTGATTTATCCCTCCATACTCTCCTCCACCTCAGTGAAATTTTTGACACCGTGGATCATTGTACCTTCTAGGACTACCCCATATTTACGTTATGCAGAGACATTTGTTTCTGCTTCTACCAATCAAACTATATTGTCTTTGGCAGTAGTGTCAGCTTTGCTCCCAGAGGCCTTTCTTCGTAGTGCTCTTCAAGGTTCAATTTTCATCTCTTGTGATTTTCTATCTTCTCTTATCTTTATACCTCAGTTACTGCTTTCACACTGATTACTCAAACCCACATAGCTTTCTACACCGTTAGTAACTCTTCCCTATAAACACCCTCTTCCTTTCCTTGAACCAAATACATTTTCACCATTGTCTCAAACATTTCTGTTACCCATCTCTCCCCCTTTCCTCCCTTCCATTTGCCTCTATCTTGAATATTAGCATCTTTGATCCAGAATTCCTACATCACTGCCTATCATCATTGCCTATCATCACTTTCCCAAGACTGACTGTCCATGCTTCAACCTTGGCTCCACCTTTGCTGACATTTTTATCCGTTTCTGTCTCTCTTCTTGCTTCCTTCCCACAACGTAGTTCTCTAACTCCAGAGCATATAAAACACGTTTCCTGCCTTCTCAAATGTACAAAGTGTAACTACATTATTATTCCCAATCTCAAACTATCCTTGTTCCCACTGCACATGAGGATAGTTTTTAGTTTCTCTCTCTTTTTTTAAAGTGCTTCCTGAACTTGGTCCAAACTCCTTCTGTGTCTTTTTTACTTCCCCTTCTCCCTTGTGCACCTATGACTAGAGCATATTCACAAATCCCAGTGGCCCGGGGAGGAAGTGTCCATCCCTGTCCCCAAACTCCTTTCCTTCCTGCCACCACCCTGCCTTTTCCAGATTACAGGGATGCCTGCAGCAGCAGTCCCTCTCTTTCCCCCACCCCTGCCTGGTGATGATGCACACTTAGACTGCACTTTCGCTCAGCTTCCCTGAAGCTCCTGATGCTGGGTTACAACAAAATTAGATAAATTCATGGAGGTTAGGTCCATCAATGGCTACTAGCTAGGATGGGTAGGAATGGTGTCCCTACCCTCTGTCAGAGGCTGGGAATGAGGGATGGGAGAGGGATTGCTTGATGATTCCCTGTTCTGTTTACTCCCTCTGGGGCATCTGGCATTGACCACTGTCGGAAGACAGGTTACTGGGCTAGATGGATTTTTGGTCTGACCCAGTATGGCTGCTGTTATGTTTAACTGCTGCTGCCACCTTGCACCAGCCCCCACTCCTGTAATTCATGAGGCTGCGTGCCTTGCATTACGAGAAGTAATTGGAGAGAAGGTGGGGCGGAGGGTGAGGTTTGAGGGATGGGAACAGACATGCCTCCTTGGACTCCCAGGTCAAACTGCGAATATGCTCCAGCTGTGGATGGCCCCTGGGCTAGGAGTATGAGATCTCTGTTCTACAGCTTGCCTTCTGGAATAGTTTGCCTATGTGTTTGCCCTTGAAACTCTCAATTTCCGATGTCTCAGTTCAAGAAGTATCTTTTCTCCCTTAGCTATGGCTTCAATTTTCAACCTACTTTCTATCTACTTTTATCTAACTCTGTAAACTGTATTCAATTCTAAATCATATTATAATATTGCTCGTGTAAAAGACCACACACAAAAAGTTATGATGTATGGCATACTAACTTAACATCTGAAAGAATCCCTCTCAATACCATTGCTGTTATCAAGTATACATGATTAGCCCATTGACCCATGACAAATTTGGGTCACCCCTAAAGATGGGCAAAAGAGAGGTGCACCTTTTCTTTTAAAGCTTCTGAACCATTTCAACAATGGTTGAGAAGCCATAAAGAAAAAAAAAAAAATTCCTGACTCAGAATTGAGGAAAACCCTTTATGTTATCATCCTTAGTTTTTTTTTCCAGTCAGTGCTCTTTTACAGTAAAAATCAAAATTACTTTATTGGAACTGTGACCGAATGCCACAAACCAACTAAAATTAGCTTTTATTTTTCTCAGGTACACTGGTATTTTTCCTAGAATGATATCCAAACCATTGCTTTTGTATCAATTGATGTAATTACTAGAGATGCAAAAATGCGGTTAAAAGTGTAACCATGTAACCTCTAAAAATCATAATTAAATAAGCTTCATACTGCAGAGCCTGCAGCAAAGCCTCCCCAGGAACGGAACCAGCATGATTGCTGCCAACCCCACTCCCAGGGGATGAGGCTTTGCTGCAGGAGCTCGTGTGTAACCTATGGGAAGGGGAGGGGGGAGAGTTTAGGGGGCTCACCATGACCAGGGCTGCTCCAGCAGGGCCCACAGAGCTGGAGCAGCCCCTAATGGATAACCGGAACTGGTAAGCCTGACCCAGTAACCTTTAACATCACTAGTAATTACACTGAGTAGTAATTACAAAGGTGTTCAGTAGTTTAGGGAGCTGGCCTCAGCATATAAAATCCTTTACTTTCAGATCATCTTTTCCTTAATCAATAGGTATTCATATTTCAAAAGCCATTACTAACATCTGGCACTGACAAACTCATAGGTCTTTCAGCGAAGCATGAGGGCTGACAGTCTTATCCTTCGAATCTGCAGTGTGGCATCATAGAGAATGACAGTGTAGGGACCTTGACCTTTGCCATACTTGCTATGTGGAGAGAATTTTAGTCCCCAGGGTTGCTATTTTGAGGCCATTTCATGTGAAAATTAAGAGGCCCCACCTGCTATTTTGCAAGTACACGAGACATTTTTCCAGTTTAAAAAAGTAGACAACAAAGGAAATGGAAATAAACACTTGTTTAATTAACATAATGCTGGTATTAAACATTATTAGAGCATTGCTACTTATTTTACTAACTAAATATATTTAACTTTATTGAAACTCCAGCATAACATTGGACATTGCATAAGTGAAACTAACAGCTCAAGCATAAATAATTTTTCTTTTAACTCTCCCCCCCCCCCCCTCAAAAAAAGACAAAAACAGCAAATGAAGTACAAATCAGGAATGGAGAAGGAGGGGGTCAACATCTGTTCATTCCTTCTTTCTTTCGACATTTTAAAATTATCTATTAGCAGGTAGGAAAGGATATTTAGCTAACAGTTAAAAGTAATACAATGTAACTTTAGAATGCAAAAAGCCAAAGAGATACATAGAGTGGCCATTTTTTTAACTGAAAAAAGGGGGGAATTTGGAAAGTATAGGCAGAGACCCTTTTCAACAAGATGCACGAATTTCCAAAAACCACTTGAATGTATGCATATCTTCCTCAGAAAAAAAATCAAACTTTATAACCATGACTGAATTAGGAAAAGTAGCACTGAAAAACAATACAACTGTAACAATTAACAATTCAACAATATCACCTGATGCTAGTGTTCCCTCAAAAGCGTAAAATCCCAAAATAGAAAAAAATCTGAAACTTTATGATGTACAATTCTATCAGGAGCATCTAACGACCATTAAGGCTGCTTAAATTACATTGTCTTTGCCGCACTATGGTACTAAGGCAAAGCCACTATAATGAAAAATTCAATCCGTTGTATTGCAAAGCAGATTCATTGACCCATCTAAGGCATGTCCTTATCACACAGAAATGCATGTGAAGTAATAGTTTAAGGAATTCCCAAACCAAATCCCATCTCCCTGGAAGTTTGGAAATTTTAAGTCAGTCAGGTAAATAGCCCAATACTGTCTTCATAGCTGACATGCCTAATCAAGAGACTGATTCAAATATAGCCGGGCTGCAGCATATTTTCACATCAGTAGGCACTTTTTATATGGGATAAATTTCAATCTCTTACTCTGAGTTTAAAAACTTTTTCATCCAGTTAATATAACGTATGTTGTTTTTAAAACTGCAGCCAATTTTTAGCCTCAACCTTTCACATGAGACAACAGAGAAAAAACAACAACAAAACAATGCAGTCTGCAGTGGTATTCTTTCGGGGATTCCTAAATGGACCCTACATATATATTATTCTAAATAAAGACTGCAGAACACTAAGCCATAAAACCTCTGGAAACTGCATTCAAAAATATCAAGTCTCTTCAAGTTTGGTTCTTTTCGGCTGGCTTATCTTGGATAACTGGACTGTACCTGAACCTCTAATATTTCATTTGTTTGATTGCCTTATTTCCAGGCTGTGTACATAGTTTTGGAAAGGTGATGAATTTTGTACTCTTTCGGTTTTTGCATTTGCATCCACAAACGTAGCTCTTGTTTTGATATATCAAAACATTTTTTCAGGCAGTCCACACACCAGAGTTCAAATATTTTATTCATAGCACCAAGGGCAGGTTAAATCCAGTCCAATTTCACTTAAGAACTTTTGGTAAAGAAGTTGAAGGCATAATCTTTGCTGGTTGTGCATAACAAAACAGTTAAACCCAGGGAACTTAAAAAAGAAGGCACCACAGTTGCTTTACACTTTTATAAGATATCCATTTGGTCTCATTTTTCACTTTGGCATCTTTTGCACTAGGATTAAAGCCTCTGAAGTTCACAAACTGGGGAAAAGGGGGACAGGCAAAAATAGGAACAAAGAGAGAGAATTTAGGTAACCTAATCTAATACCAGTCTATCTGAGGTACCAGTCAGACATTATTAATGTTTTTTTTCCTGAACATTCCAAATATAAACTAAAATAATATTTGATTGGCAAAAGTATCAACTGAGGATCCAGCAGCTTTTTTGGTATCTGTAAAGTAACAAACATATTCTTTATTTGCTCAGTTGGCAAAGGAAACTTGGGTAACTGATAGGCAGAAACGCTGCACTGACTTGTGAGAAAACTGAAATGATGGAAAGAACATTTGATTATTGTACTGCAAATGCTGTGCTTAAGCAAGCCATATTTGCTACACAGTCCTTGAACATATCCTCAAGTGCATTTTGTCTTTTACTTTGGCGCACTTGTGAAAAATTCTAAGTTACTTGCCTTGAAGTACCAGTCTTGAAATTTTTTACAACACTCTTCACTGCAGAAATCTCTTACTACACCATCAAGTTCCTTAGTTGCTCCCTTTTTACACAGTTGTGAGCAGTAATTACAAGTAACACATCTCAATCCTAACCGTCTTGCAAAATCTTGTTTATATAGCAGCTTGCATCCTGGAAAAAAAGATAAAACAAGGCTTAAGAACAATCATTCATAATTATTTTTTTGTTTAACTGATTTGTAAAACTAAAACAGTAGTAATAAGCACAAACTTTGTGTTTAAGACAAATTCAGATTACGCTGTACATTATTATCTGAACTATTAAACTTACCTGCACAACTATAAAGTTACACATAATTCCTTACATTCTTAGCTCACAATATGTAACACTGTGGCTGCTTAACAGCATTTAAAACACAAATATCACAAGTTTCATGAGAGTTGTATTTAGGTTTTGCTTAAGTACATGGAGTTGTAGTTAGGTTTTGCATTTCACAAAAGCCCCACAAAAATCCTTTCCTATGGGTATGTCTAAACCAGCGGTTCCCAACCTGTGGTCCACAGCGGTACTACAGGGGATCTGTGTGGAGCCTCTCAGCCAACACGTCCTTCAACCCAAGTTGTTTCCCGTGGCGCGGGAAGTAGTGCGAGCAGAGGGACTTGCTCCTAGACTCAGACTAGGCCAGGCACATAGTTTTTCATAATCACATTAAAAGCAGAGAAGAAAGAAGTGTGGCTATCTCCCTCTGGTTTTGCTGTGTTTTACATCGTTCCTGGGCTTACCTCTGATGTACCTGACATCCTTCCTCTGCAATGAGGAGTTCTGTGGCACCTTAAAGACCATGTCCATGTATACACTACATGGAAGATTGACACTGCTGCAGTCAATCTTCCAGGGTTCGAATTAGCAGGTCTAGTGAAGACCCGCTAATTTGAACTGAGAGGGTGCCACCACCGGTGGCAGCAGTCTTGCTCCTCACAAGGAGTAAGGTAAGTCGACAGGAGTGTTTGCTCCTGTCAACCTCCCACTGTGTGGATAGCCCATAACCGGTTTATTTGAGTATCGCTCCAATGCATCTGACAAAGCGGGTTTTACCCACAAAAGGCTATGCCCAAATAAATGTTAGTCACAGGACTCCTCTGTTTTTGCAGATACAGACTAACATGGCTGCCCCTCTGAGATCCTTCATCTGGCCACAAACCAGCCAATGGGAGCTGCTTGTTGGAATAACAGGCACCCAAGAAGAACCACGCCCCCTCTCCTCAGCTCAGTTATTCACTGAAGCACATGGCCAAGCACGCAGGCAGGCTGGCTAGGAAACGTTTTAAGCTCTGTAAGCAGGCAGGCTGGTTTGCGTGCGGGCTGGCAAATATCCTGGCCACAGCCTGCCTCTGACACCCAAGCCCCTCCCTGCCCAACCCTCTGCCCTCACCCACTCAACATACCCAAACCCTGTGTGCCCCTTTTACACCCATACCCCCTCCCAGATCTGGCACCCCAATCTCCTGCCCCAGATCACAATCCCCTTCTATCCTAGGTCACATCCCAAGCCCCTGCACTCCAGTCCCCTGCCCTAGGTCACAACCACCTCCTTCACTCAAACTCCCTCCTGCACCCAAATCCCTTACCCCCATACTCCCCTCTGCACCCAACCTCCATCCCAGATCCTGCATCTCCTCCATTAATATCATGGAAGAGTGTGGCCCTCAACCACTTTTCAAAATCTTAGAGTGGCCCACTGTCAAAAATGATTGCCCACCCCTACATTATATGAACAAGCCACCAATGTGACCTACTATTTAGCAAACACTATACACACAGAAATTGACTTCTCTAAAACTACATTTTATATTACATATTGTAACAGACCCAGAGCAGCTATCTGCTGCTCACTGGTGGAGGGAATACATGCCGGAGCTTGGGTGAACAGCTTTCTCTTTCCTCAATTAAAAAAGGCCAAGCCTAAGTCCAGCATAATCAGGCAGGCACCTGGGGTCAATTAGAACTTGCTAGAAGCTACAGGAAGATTAGTCACTTGAAGTCAATTAAGGCCTGTGGTGCTGCATTAACAAGGCTCTCCCCCAGTAGGGAAGCTAGAAGGAATAGAGTGAAGGACAGGAAGGAGGAAGTGTTGTGTGCAGGAGCGGTGTGGGTGAGAGCAGAGAACTGAGGAGCAGGTACCAAAGGAAAAGTACTAGAAGGGATTGTTTGGGGAAGTGGCCCAGGGAAAAGCTGCCAGATTGAGGCAGCAACCCTGCCTGTTGCCACTGCCTTAGGGTTCCTGGGCCAGAACTCAGAGTAGTGGGCGGGCCTGAGTTCCCCCAACCTCCCTACAACATCTCAACTTCTGCCTTGAAAAGGGAGATCAGCACTCCAGAGGGGATTTTTACACCAAACTTATAACCAGCCTGTGATGAGTATGGCTCAGTAGGCTTTAGCTCCTGTTTCTAGTAATGAGAAAGAAGCCATGTGGAGAGCCACAGCGAGCCTCTGAGGTTAACACTATCTGCCACTAGCGCGAGACCCACGGGGAATGGCTAGCACTTCGTCACAATATATATTGCGACATTTAACAAAGAATAAAACAGCAAATGATTTAACATTGCTACCGAAATAAAAATGCCAACATCCTGATTTGTGAGATGAAAGTGTAGAACTTGAGACTGCAGAAGCTGTTTTCTGCATCATGTCACCAAGGATTCTGCATGACATTTACCTACTTTTTAAATGTTTTCTAAAGTCTGACAACAATGAGATCTAGAAGACAAGGCAATAATGTACGAGTCAGGCAATTGTCTTCATCCCTATAATTTACAATTTTATACCCAACATGAGGAACAACATGCATTTAATAAAAAAAGACAGCATGCAAACTTCTTAGTACAGTTCTCCATCTAGTGGTCAAACAAAACAAAACAAAAAGGAAAAAACCGTAAGCAGAATTGCTGTATCAATTTATATAAGTCATGATATTTTTAACAAAGTTAACTATCGAGAAACTATTCCAGCATCAAGAAGATTGCAGCCATTTTACAATGAGTCATTGAACTTTCCAGAAACTGCTGACACACCCTCTTTTGGATAATTAAAATACAGAGATTTAAAGACTCTCCAGTATTTTTATTTTAATTTACATAATCTAAGATTTTGTATTTAAAAGACAAGATCAATGCATTATGCATAGTACTATAACTTGAGGATCTACATTATTAGAAAATATAAAATCTGAATGATCTTATGGTTACATCTGAGCTGTGGTTAAAACCAAGTATTAAAGTTGAAATATTTTACTAAATGGATGTGCAGCCAGTAGGCATTCAGGCCATGTCTACAGTACGAGCAGTGTAAACACAATGAGCAGCCAACAGGGGAGTTTGCCTGGGACTTTGCCTTGGGGGAAGTCCCATAGTGTTTGGTGGTATTTTTCTTGCATTTTGTTTCTCTTGTGCCCTTCAACGGGGCATTAAAAACATCTGAGGCATCTCTCTGAAGGAAGGCAAGTATAGATAGTGATAGCTCTGCTGTTGTTACCAGCACAGCACGTGCCATGTTTCTCTTCCTCCTGGAAGACCAATGGGATTTCATCTCCACTAAGTTACAGGCCGGTCACTATTTTGGAAGAAAAAATTAGAGGACTTGAGGCCCAAGTATCAATCCTACATTCTATCAGAGAAGATGAAGACTTCCTCGATAGAAAACAGCATTTAATACTGCAGGTACAGCAGGCTGAAGAACCAGTGAGGGCAGTACAGAACAAGGAAGACTGGCACCATGTAACCTCCAGGAGAAGACAGCCAACTCAGGTATCCTCAATTCCAGTAGAGGTAAGTAACCGCTTTCAGGCTCTATGGACACGCACTACGGTGGAGAATGCTTTAGCAGAAACCTCTTAGGAAAGAGTTCAGAAGACATGGGATGTGTAGTCCTAGGGATAGGGGTTCCATAACCACCACCCTCAAGAGAAGACGATGGGTGGTGGTGCTCAGGGACTCCCTCCTAAAAGAGACAGAGTCATCCATCTGCCATCCAAGCCTGGAAACTTGAGAAGTGTGCTGCTTACCAAGAGCTAGAATTCAGGATGTGACCAAGAGTCTTCCAAAACTGATCAAACCTTCAGATCACTACCCCTTCCTGCTTCTCCGTGTAGGAACTAACAAATACAGCCAAAAATGACCTTGAGAGGGTCACTGCAGATTACGTAGCACTGGGAAGAAGGATCAAGGAACTTGAAGCGCAAGTGGTGTTCTTCCCCATCCTCCCTGTTGAAGGAAAAGGTTCAGGTAGGGATCATTGAATTGTGGAAGTAAATGTGTAGTTTCACAGGTGGTGTCAAAGAGAGGGCTTTGGTTTGTTTGACCATGGAACTCTGTTTCAGGGACAACGATTGCTAGGAAGAGATGGTATCCACCTAACCAAGAGAGGAAAGAGCATCTTAATGGGCAGGCTTGCAAACCTAGTAAGGACTTTTATTAAACTAGGTTTGTTGGGAGACAGTGACCTAAGCCCTGAGGTAAGTGGGATACCGGGAAGAAACACAAGAAGGAAGAAAGCAACAAAGAAGGACCCCTGATTTGAATGGAGAAGGTAGGACAATCAACTACAGGCAGTCCCTGAGTTACGCGGATCCGACTTATGTCGGATCCGCAATTACGAACAGGGTTTGCTGCCCGTCTCCCTGGTCTGCTGGAGACCAGCAGACCAGGGAGACGGGAAGCAAAGCCTCTGAGGATGCCAGCAGAGGGGGAGCAGCGGGATAGCCGCGGTGCGTCTGGGCTGCCCGCGTGCTCCGCGGCTTTGCTCCACGTCTCCCCAGACCGCGGCTTTGCTCCGCTTTGCTCCCCGTCTCCCTAGTCTGCTGGAGACCAGCAGACAAGGGAGACTGGGAGCACCCGGGCAGCA